CCCCTCACTCCATTCTACCCGGCAATACGTGAGTACAGTTGTACATGGACGGAGTACTGTAATACCCCCTCACTCCATTCTACCCGGCAATACGTGAGTACAGTTATACATGGAGTACTGTAACACCCCTCACTCCATTCTACCCGGCAATACGTGAGTACAGTTATACATGGAGTACTGTAACACCCCTCACTCCATTCTACCCGGCAATACGTGAGTACAGTTATACATGGAGTACTGTAACACCCCTCACTCCATTCTACCCGGCAATACGTGAGTACAGTTGTACATGGACGGAGTACTGTAATTGTTGTCCCATAGGACAATAAAATATTGACAGTAACGAATTCTTGTCTTCTCATCGTTTTTCATTACTCGATGCTATTGTGATGAACAACGAACAGTTGTTTGACTTTATAGTCGTAGGTAGGACTCGTACTAATATTGCAAAAAAAGTCCAATTCTCATCATTAACTCATATAATTTAGTTGGTTTTCACCTTCTTACTCGGTTTTTATCAATGTTAGTAAATATCTTTTTGCCGGGATTAAAACATTTTAGCCCGTTTCCCAGTAAAGCAGGTTTTTCGAGAACAAATTTTCAATTAAAATCCGTCGACATTTAATTGCTTTCTGAATGCATGCAATTTTTAATTTGATTTTAATTAGCGCGAAGGTAACGCCTGCCATGAATATTTTTTCTCCAGCTAGTGCATTCCGTATTCCGGAAGACGAAGCTGCTATTCCCGGCATTCCTGTTCAGCCGATCAGTTACGAAGATGCTTGGTATCTGCTGAGGTGAGGGCCTTATTTGCGCTTTGGTCACATACAAAAATATTTTTGAATGTAATAGCGATTTAGATTATTGCTTTGGCTTCTGGTTGGAAATGTATGCACACATATGGAGAAAACCAGCCTAATGAAGTTCGTTTACTCGCTCAAAGGAAATTACAATGCAAGTCAATGCTTGACCTTTTTTAAACGTTATAATTTAGCCGTCACCAATGAAATTCACAACAAAATGTCAGTCAACAAGAATTACCATGTGTAATTGGATTGTTAAATATGGAAATGACTAATTATCGTTACCTAATCAGTTCGTTAAGTGGCTGGCACTCGTGTCCCGCTGAGTGGCTAGGCGAATGACTTATTTTCTTTGCCTAATCAGTTCGTTGGGTGGCAACTCGGGTCCCGTTGAGTGGCAAGGAGGCCTGAACATCACCTACAGGACGGGTCCATCCCTCAGCTCTGTGCGGGTCATCCAGGGTTAGGGGTCACCGGGGTCGCTGGGGTCTGGGGTCGCCGGGGTTAGGGGTTAGAGGGATCAGGGTGTGACAGAGGTTTGGTGGGGAAAATAATATTGTTGTACGTGAAGTATGTCGTATCAGGAATAGAAAATGGACCGAAAATTTAATTATTAAAAATTTTGAAGTAACCACAGAGACTTTAATAATACATTAAAATGTGTCCTGTCTATCCAGTATGTGTCAAATCAAACTATTATATTGTCCAAATTAAAATAGGGTGAAAAAGAACAGCCAGTACAGCTTACCGCTTATCCTTCGGAGTGCTTAACCGTATCGCTTATTAAACATGAAGCCAATCAGCCTTACTTAAGTTTTAACAGGAAAACACATTTAGAAAACAACTGAAATTCAAGTAGAGAAGTTATTAATGCGAATTATAGTTCAGAAACGGCTGAAATGTCACTCGTGAAATTCGAATACATTTTTGCTGTTTTAAAGTGAATAAATTTATAGGTTTTGGGGAATTTTCGAGTCTAAACTAAAAAGTTATATTTTTGAACAGTATTTGAACATACCACAGTGGCTGAATCATGAAAGTTATCATCACCGAAACTGCTATTTGAAACGGCTAGACTGACTCCTATTAAAATTTGAAAACCTAATTTTGTAAAGGCCACGCTGACATCTATTTCAATTCTTCAAGATTCTAATTCAATTCTATCACCCAATTCAATTCTTCAAGTTGCGTGATATTCGGTGTTGAATCATTGGAGTTATCACATGAAAACCGTAGTTATGAAATAGTGGAATTAATATCATTAAAATTCATGCAGCTACTGCACCGTTGAAAAGCGGCTGAAATTTTCGAGTAAGATGATATTTGGTGTTGAATAATTCAAGTTTTTAACGAAAAACGCATTTATGAATCGACCGAAGTTGATGTTAAAAAGTTATTTGTACTAATACTCTGTCAAAAACAACTGAAATGACACTCGTGAAATTTGATGAAAAGAATAAATATCTAGGTTTTTGCAAATTTTCAAGTAGAATTTAAGAGCCAACAATACTAAGCCTATTTCAGAAGTGGCTGAACTGACACACGTAATTTGAATAGTATTTTTGTTGTTTTCAAGTGAATATATTTCTAGGTTTTGGGGGAATTTCCAAGTTTAATATAAAAAGTTATTCTTCTGAAAGGCATATGAACTTGCAACTGTTGTTTAATTAATAGTAGTTAGTACCAAAAATGCAATTTTGAAACGGCTGAACTGAAAACTGAACTAAAATTGGAAAACCTTATTACGGAATGGCTACACTGACATCTATGCCAGTAATATAGCCACTGCAGTGTTGAATCATTTTAGATTTTACCAGAAAACCTAATTTCGAATGGATGAACTATATAACATTTATAGAATTTATGAAGCCACTGCACAGTTGCAAGCGAATTAAATCATCGAATTAGGTGGTATTTGATGTTAAAGCTTTCAAATGTTCACTCTGCTCCGCTGAACTCTAAGGACGTCTCTAAACGAAACGGAGACTCGCGTACAATTCAAATTCCATCATATTATTATCTG